GATTGAATTAAAAAAATTCTTTAGATATGAAAATAGCAAGTGCACTGTTTAACGTAGTAATTTGCCTACTGTTGATCTAACTGATATCGATATGTATTAGGTTTATATATTATCCATTTAAAAATTAAACAGGTGAGTCACTTTTAAAATTTATATGAAAAACAATTATTATAAGACGACCCCAATTCAATTCATTGGTTTACATTACATTTTCATTATAAGAGAGGGGGGGAGGGGGGCTTCAGAGGGTTTATATTAAAATTAAAAAAAATTTTTTTTTAAAAAATTTTTTTGAAAATGTTTTATAACTATATAAAAAATTGTTTAAACATTATTTATTTAAAAATATATTATAGGTTTAAGTTTTTGCTTTCTTTTTTTACTATTTTTCCCAACTTTAATCTCCAAACAAGTAAAATGATCTTTTTCTAATTCTTTACATGTATTACAACATGGATAAACTATTTAGATAAATCAAATAAACCATCTTCGGTTTCACACCAATAACAAAGTTGAATTCTATCACCATGTTCACATGCGTAATAATTTGTTTCAATTGGTGAATTATAGGAAATATGTTCACGAACAAAAAGAATATTATATAATTGATGATCTTCTAGTAAAATAGGCCTATTACAAGTATATAAATTATTTTGAAGAGCTGTTTGCCATTGTAATTCTTCTTTTTTATTGAATGAATTTTAACTATAAAGACAGCACTATTTACTACAAGCAGTACATTCTACCTATTCACTAATTTTTTTGTATGTATATAGATTATTAGAACCATTTTCTTGTTCTTCTTGATTTAATAATAAAGAAGGACAATGACTTTCATTTGTTTCAATTCCATATACAGAATTTGGTGTATAACAATTAAATCTATAGAATATTAAATATTTAAGTTAATTCAACTTTAATTATTTTTAAAAAAAATTAAACAAACCTTCTATTGCTAGCATAGAATCAGATAAAAAATTTAACAAATTAAACTTTTCAATTAGTATTCAAACTGGCTTAACACAACTTTTTAATCTTTAAATATTAAATTAATATACTATATTATATATTATTAATTTAAAAGTAAATATATTAAATTATTAACCTGAAAAGGTCTGGTGATCTTAGTGTAGTGGTTAGGTTGCCAGACTGCTATACAAGAGGTCTGGGGTTCAAATCCTACTGTC